ATCATGGGTGTCATCGTCTTCCACATCATCATCATAATCATCATCTTGGTGATCATGGTGTGCATCCTCGTCACCACTGATAACGTCAATCCCAGCCTCGAAACTCGGTGCATTATTGTCGCGCTTCATGCCAGTTTAGTCAAATACATTCACTTTAACCTGAACAAAGAACTGATCTTTCGTGGATCTTGCAGTCTGGTAGCCAGGGTTTGTCTCGTTCCACTCCGATCCCCTGTAACACTGCGCGGTGCACCCTTCAGCAGCTATCCACAGCGAAAAGCAGTTGTGTGGAGCTATAGTATCCTGAATGTTGTTGCGAGATGGCTCAGTGGTTAGAGAACGAATTTACTGACCGGAAGATTCTTGGTTCAAACCCGACCTCGGCTTCCCAGCTTCTCCTGATTAGGCTTGAGCAATTAGGCAGCATCCCAGCCCTCGTGCTTCCTTTGAGTTGCATAGCAACCAGGCACCAAAACAGTGATTGTTATATCACTTTTACTTGTGGTCTGTTCTCCAGCCATGAACGTATTTTAACAGGGATTAGGGAGCGTATTTGGTCACGAAGTATCTAAGTGACTTGGAAGTAATGATTTAGTCAATCGATCAGCCAAACAACTGAAGATGTGTTACAGAAAGCATAGATTGGGGATGGATGTTGCACAGAGCGTCGGGAACATTCACATCTGTAGATTAGTTATTGACTGTTCAGTTACGGCCACCCACCAAGTGAAGTCGTACGTCTCAGATAGACCGATGGAAGCATGCAAGGCAGTGTAATCAGCACCTAATAGACATAAAGTCGCTAGCAGGGACGGTGTAAGGGACAAGAGATGAGGCTACTTAAGGTCTGTTAGGCTCCTTCATGTGTCCAAAGAACACCAAGCTAGCATACGTACATGATAGCTAACAGAGAAAGAATGCAAGAACGGCTGTGCAATTACAGCTTGATCTAACTACATTTTGAGCAAAAAGACATGCTTTTTTGGCGGTGATCATGAAATTCGATGACAGGGAACCCAATCGTATTACCAACATTTCCGTCATTGTGTGAGACGGGATGGGTCAGCATACGTGTTTGCATGCGTGTATGCTTACATTCGTGCGTGCTTGCATGCGTACGTGCTTGCATGCGTACGTGCTTGCATGCGTACGTGCTTGCATGCGTACGTGCTTGCATGCGTACGTGCTTGCATGCGTACGTGCTTGCATGCGTACGTGCTTGCATGCGTACGTGCTTGCATGCGTACGTGCTTGCATGCGTACGTGCTTGCATGCGTACGTGCTTGCATGCGTACGTGCTTGCATGCGTACGTGCTTGCATGCGTACGTGCTTGCATGCGTACGTGCTTGCATGCGTACGTGCTTGCATGCGTACGTGCTTGCATGCGTACGTGCTTGCATGCGTACGTGCTTGCATGCGTACGTGCTTGCATGCGTACGTGCTTGCATGCGTACGTGCTTGCATGCGTACGTGCTTGCATGCGTACGTGCTTGCATGCGTACGTGCTTGCATGCGTACGTGCTTGCATGCGTACGTGCTTGCATGCGTACGTGCTTGCATGCGTACGTGCTTGCATGCGTACGTGCTTGCATGCGTACGTGCTTGCATGCGTACGTGCTTGCATGCGTACGTGCTTGCATGCGTGCGTGCTTTCATTCGTGCGTCTTGCGTGCGTGCGTCATCACCTCTGACCAATAGAAACGACCAGCTATGGGCGCAAGGCCGTACACTAAGGACAGCCATCAGGCACTGCTCTGAGACTACATTCGGTTGCTGTTTCTTTTTCAATTCAGTGGTTTCAGTAGGTTGTGAGTGACAAGAGAGACCGGCTAAGCTTGACTAGTGTGGACTGCGTGGTACCGAAGACTCGTTTGGTTCTAAATGTTGCAACCGAATGAGTGGATAAGCTGACTGACTACAAATCCATCTATTCGTGTCACGTGATCGCTTGCCTGGCCAGCAGCTGCTTGGGTGTTTGAGTTGATTCTACTCTGATGCAATTGAAAACTCTGTAGTTCTCCAAAGGTGCTCTACAGCCCCCACTGGAATTTCGTTAGATGATGAATCCCAATAATGATGGAAATGGCTGGAAATGGTTTATCATGATTTCCGCATAGGCTGGACTTCCTTAAAGAACGACATCTCAATCTATCGAAGGTCAACAAAATTGTGGAGGAGGGAACAGAAGTCGAATGGTATGTGTTACTTCAGAGAAGTTGCTTTAGACTTTGGTAGAACGTCCGAATCGCGTCCCAGATGTTAGTAGTACGTGATCGTGAAAAGTGCAGACTAGCCTGCCTGGACAGTGGCCAGGACTAAGTCCCATGTTAAGCGCATGATCTACTTTATTCTTGGCTTCAGAAAAGAGCCCAGAATGACCTGGTTCACAGCCATTTGACCTTGGATCAAGGCTCTCCGGTCGATTACGAGTGATTGATTGGCAGTGGGTCTCGGATTTGCCTGGGAATTCGAGCACCATCAGTCGTCACTGATTGGCTGATTGAACGTTCAGTCGATATCTGGATTTTCTGGCCCATAGTTTACCTAAGTTTCCTGAAGCAATTTTGGCGGAATTCCCAGGAAGTTTCAAACGTTTTGAGGTTATTTTGAGAAATTTGAAATTTCAAACACAAACCTCACAAACAGTGTGTTGTAGTAAGCTAGGCGATGCCGGTTTGTTTCGCGGACGCGCTCTTCATGAATTTTCCCAACTTAATGAGCTCCTGGAATCCGCCAACATTGGTCAGAATAACTGACTTGGTTCAAAGGTGATCGACAAATCAAATAAAGGAATATTCATCTCCGTGATCTGTATGATACATCAGCGTCGCGGACACAGAAACCCAGATAAGCATTAATTGGGCAAACCCACCATCATCATCATCATCACCGACAACATGATATCGGTGTATAACTCCGCTGCTCCGCTGCCGTACAAGCATGATTTATTTGGAAGTCTTGTTGTGAAGAAAAGAAGGGATCTAGTGTTAGCTTACAACAATCATTCTGAGGTGTCTACACCTCCAGACACTCACTCAGACAATCTGGTCAGAAACTAACAATAAGGACACCACCAAGATCGATTAGCAGACATATCTTTAAATGTTTTCAAACAGGCGCATCGGGGATCACGCGGCCCGCATCCTGGAGGGTGAGTTGCACCGACAGCACCATTCAACCCCTCTGCCAGGTCAAGTGACTGGCCACCTCTCTGCTTCCGTCACTCTGAGCTGGGTAAGGGAAACAGTACTGTCTTCTGCAAACCATGTTTTGGCGAGCGCAATTATTCAACGGATGTCCGCGCTGAACAACCGAGAACGCGCTTTCTAACTGCCTCGTTACGTAATCGCTGCCACCATTCCACACTATCTGTGGTTCTGAGACAACGATTGTCGAACACCTGAGGACGTCTCAGTTTCGCTGATCGAACAGGCCGAGTCTCACAGCCATACAACAAAACAGCCCGCACTGTAGCTTGATACACATGTCCCTTGAGATTCAGGGATAAACCATTCTGACGCCATAGGTGTCTGAAGTTAGCAAACGCGGCCCGAGCCTTGCAGATTCGTGAATTGACCCAATTTATCACACTACAATGAGAACCAATACGACTTCCAAGGTGCGCGAAACGCTCCACAAATTCCAGTACCTCTCCCCAGATGGTAAGTGACGCGTTAAGTGACTGCACGTCCAGGGGCAAGAGCTTACACTTTGTGGATGTAAAGTGCATACCAAAGGACGGGATGGTCAGTTCACCCAAAAACACATGCGCCTTGTCCTCCTCTTCGAGCATGAGAACGAAGTCGTCTGCATATTCCACATTGACAGAGTTTTCCTCAGAGCCTATTTGAACGCCGGGGTTTGAAGACACTCCAGTGTTCGTTTCATTATCTCGTCGATCACTAAAGTAAATAAAAATGACACTACTTTGTGTACAAAAGCTGTCGCAGAGCTCATCGTAATCTCCCACACTTCCGGAAGGAGCATAGATCAGTCAACCGAGTCAAATGCGCCTTGTAAATCCAGGACTACTGGATTTCTGGATTGCTCTTACGTGTGGCGCTGTTCTCACACCTGACCATGTGTGAAGACTTCGTCTAAGTATCTCCCACCAACCCAGAGTATCAGCTATTTCTCGCAATAATTTAAACGGTGCAATTAACAGACTGATAGAACATATGCGAGCAGGATTGCGTGTAGTTTTTTCCAGTTGCAAACAGAGTCAGTCAGTCAGTAGCTTGGCAAATGAATGTGCTGCACCAGACCACCTCATGTTTCAGTCGCTACGATATTCGAGATACCGCGAAACATGTAGGTCCTTTATGCACTACTCATAAGGTTGCTGAAAATTCGTCGACAGCCCACGACTGGTTTCGCCCTTGTTGGGCTCATCATGTAGGCAAAGTCCCCAAGTTTCCGTCAAACCTTTGTTCTACTTGAAACCGAATTGCACGAAGTTAGCGAGCTACACTCATTTGCAAACGAATTTGGTA